TGCTGGAGCTGGGGGTACTGCGGGTGCTGGAGGTTCCGTTGCTGCCGAGGGAGCTGGTACCACGGGTCCCGGAGGTGCTCGTACTGAGGGTACTGGAGCTGCCGGGCCCGGGGGTGCCTCTGGAGCTGGAGCTGCTGCGGGTGCTGGCGCTGAGGCTACGACTGTCGGTCCTACTGCGGGTACTTCTGCAGCTGCTGGTGGTGCTGGAGTTGGAGCTGCTACTGGTACTGGTGCTGCCTCTGGAGGTGTTGGTCCTGTCCCTGCTGTCTCTGGCGGTGCTGCGCGGCCTCGGGCGTACTTCGTTCCGCTCCTTCAGCAGGTTCTTGGTCTCCCGCCTTCCACTGGTCCTTCTCCTCCCGTAGAGTGTCCGCAGCCTGTCCCGTCACGGTCACAGTTACAGCCCGCCTCTCCCCTGCCTTCTCCTTCTCCCTACGCTGGTCCTACTGGAGGTCTTGCTGAGCGTTGTGAGCCTGCGTCCCGCCCTGCGTCGCCAGTCCGAGCTGCTCGCCCTAGTGGTCGCGGTTCGCGTCAGCGTCCTCCTCCTGTCCCTGGCACGCACCAGATGTCTCTGCGTCCGTCCACTGCTCCTCTGCGTGCCCCTTTGCCTTCTCCTCCTCAGTCTTCTCTTCCTACACTTGCCGACCCGGAGTCGGACTCTCACCGTGCTGCCAGTCCTACTGTCACGCGTCTTCTTGCTACTCTTGTCACTGACCCTTCCTTTGAGTCCGCTGCTGCGTCTGCCCTAGTTGCTGAGCTGGTCGACTTTGCTGCTGCGTGTCGTCTGGACTACGCTGCCAGTCTTGTTGCTGAGTCTGCTGAGTCTGCGTCTGCTGCGTCTGCATCTGCCTGTCCTCCGTCCGTCGGGGGTGACTGTGCTCTTGGCACGGACGTCCTTGAGGACAGGCAGGAGGAGTTCCAGTGCTTTGCCGCCGCTTTGCCCCATCTCGTGTCCATGCTTGTTGCCCCTGAGGGAGACCCGGATGCTCTAGACATCCCGACCCCACGCTCTTACGCAGAGGCGATGGCCGGTCCCTACTCCTCTCAGTGGCAGTCAGCCATGGACGCAGAGATGGCTTCCTGGAAGTCCACAGGCACCTACGTTGACGCTGTTCCCCCTCCTGGGGCGAACATTGTCAGTGGCATGTGGATCTTCAGGGTGAAGCGGCCGCCGGGTTCTCCGCCTGTCTTCAAGGCGCGCTACGTGGCTCGTGGCTTTAGTCAGGGACAGGGAGTTGACTTCTTTCAGACCTTCTCCCCGACCCCGAAGATGACCACTCTTCGGGTTCTACTGCACGTCGCTGCTCAGCGTGACTACGAGCTACACTCTCTTGACTTCAGCACTGCTTTCCTGCAGGGCCGCCTGCACGAGGAGATCTGGCTGCGCCGCCCTCCTGGCTTCACTGGGTCGTTCCCTCCTGGTACCCAGTGGAGCCTCCGGCGGCCAGTCTACAGTCTCCGCCAGGCGCCGCGTGAGTGGCGCGACACACTAAGGACTACACTTGTGGCTCTTGGGTTTGCTCCTTCTACTTCTGACCCGTCGCTGTTTCTGCGCACCGACACCTCGCTGCCGCCGTTCTACATCCTCGTGTACGTCGACGACTTGGTCTTTGCCACTGCGGACACTGCCGCACTCGCCCACGTGAAGTCCGAGCTGCAGAAGAGACACACGTGCACAGACCTGGGTGAACTGACAAGCTATCTTGGCTTGCGGATCACCCGGGACAGAGCACGCCGCACCATTACCCTGACTCAGTCACACATGGTGCAGCAGGTCCTTCAGCGCTTCGGCTTCACGTACTCCTCGCCTCAGTCCACTCCTCTGCCTACGGGACACTCGCTCTCAGCTCTGCCTTCGGATGAGTCCGTAGAGTCGAGTGGTCCGTATCCAGAGCTTGTGGGCTGCCTCATGTACCTGATGACTTGCACTCGACCTGACCTCGCATACCCTCTCAGCATCTTAGCACGCTATGTTGCTCCCGGCCGTCACCGGAAGGAGCACATGGATGCAGCTAAGAGGATGTTGCGCTACTTGTGCAGTACGTCGGGCATGGGGCTAGTGCTTGGAGGGCGTGAGCGGCCTGTGCTCACTGGGCACTCAGACGCTTCTTGGGCTGACGACCAGGCTACTCAGAGGTCGTCTCAAGGTTACACCTTCAGTCTTGGCTCTGGCTCTGTCTCTTGGCGCTCTACTCGCTCTTCTTCAGTTCTCAGCTCCAGCTGTGAGGCTGAGATCTACGCCACGGCCATGGCTGCCCAGGAGCTTCGCTGGCTCACCTACCTGCTGACTGACCTTGGAGAGCGGCCTCGTTCTCCTCCAGTGCTGTACGTCGACAACAAGGCAACCATTGCCTTGTGTGAGGAGCACAGACTGGAGCACAGGACGAAGCACATTGCTCTGCGCTACTTCCTTGCTCGAGAGCTGCAGCAGCGTGGTCAGCTTCGCCTGCGTTTCGTGGCCACTGAGGCCAACACTGCTGATGTGTTCACCAAGGCACTTCCGCCTCGTGACCATCAGCGCTTTTGCACTCTGCTAGGCCTTGTGCCCACTGGGCCTCACTTGCTTACCTCTTGACCTTGCTTGTACTGCTGCATATATATATCCTTGCTCTTGCTTGTTTAGCACTGTTATATATATATGCTCTGCTGCATGTGAACTGGCCTTGTGGCCTTGACCTTGTGCTCGGAGTTTGTGTGGTATCCTTGAGATCCACCTTGAGCTTGCTTTGTTTTGCTTTGCTTTGCTTGACTGGTCTTGTGACCCCTTGCTCTCCCCCACTTTGCCTATGGGGGTGTGTCAGATGATTATATTACTGATGCATATATTTAGGCTGTAGTGGGGTAGCCCATAGGGGGTACAACCCAATTAGGGTTGGTACTTGTACTTGTTTCATTTCATAGTGCATCCATTCCTCGCCTCTATCTCAACACGATGCACTCTCTCTACAACGGCAAAACTATTTCTATCCCCAGTAAACTACGTTTCATATACTCTTGTTCCACTCTTTAAATCCTGGTGCAGAGAACACAAGCGAATGGGCAAATGGGTTCCGCAGGGTATCGGCACTTCCTTCTCGAGCCTAGCATGCTCGGCATGAAGCCTTCCTTGGTTGTTGCATTCTCCAGTCCAGAGCAGGGCTGACGATATCAGGGTAATTACCCTGATTTCATGGTGATTTCATACTTTCCACTTTGCGGAGACTGAGATTTCAGAATTACTGAGTTCTCAACCCTGTTCAAATCAGAGTAGTAGTTTTCCTATCCCTGATTTTGAGTATAGTGTAACAGACTAGCCTGTTAGTTGACCCTGACTTAATAGGGTATCGAATCTGTGGTCCCTGATTTTGACCTTATCGAGAGGAAGGTTCTTGGAAATTTCCTTCCGATATCCCCCTTCGGTTTGATCGCAGTACAGCCAGCGCGTGAGCGATGGACAGCAGCATGTCTGACAGGTGAGTACACTCGATGTTGGTTATTTTCATGAGATGCGAATAAGTTGTTCCACTGTCGTAAGTTTGTGTGCGTAAAGTTTCCAGAACCTATTTTGCGTTTCGCACAGCGATGTTGGCCACATTCAGGTATCGAATCGAAATCTCTTCCCCCCACTACAACGTGTGCATAAATACCGTTTCGTAACACTAAAAAGGAGGAACTTAGCGCGCTCAAAGTGTGCGCGAAACACAGAGCGCATACTTTACGCAGAGGGAAACTTTTTCCCCTGTAACAAAGGGCGCGTTACTACTCTGATCCTCGATTTTCGACCCTGAACAATCAGAGTTACCGTATATACTTTTCAACCCTGAGCAATCAGAGTAGCATTATTCTGAAAAATGTGCACTCATAATAGCGGGGAAAATTTTTCCCCGGAATCAGGGAGGCCTAATATGAAACGTCAGCCCTGGTCCAGAGCAACAGATACTTAGCAACTTTACGGCAAGATTCATGCTACATATATTTTGCATTCCTATGGGCTTTTGCTTTGTGGGTTTCTTCCATAGTGTGCTTATGGGGATCAAATTGTGGTGTTTGCACTGCAGGGTTATGAGGGTTATGCTTTGTGGGTTAGTGCTTGCATTGTCTTATGGCAGTTAATCTAAAAAAAAACTCCAAAAAAACACCAGGGTTGTTCTTACCAGGCACAATCTGCATGGCTGGTTCCCAGACTTAGGAAGCTACACCATCTACGGTAGCAGTACCGGTACAAGGAAGGTTCTGGATTCCAGAGATTGGTGCAGCAGCGCCTGCTGCAGGCGTTCGCCTCAGGGGGGTTATAATGAAGTACTGAAGACCCAGAAGTCTCCTAATTTTGGGAGGTCTTTTATTCGGGAAATTACGGTATTGCGACAACAGCCGAATTGTGAACCATGGGACCTCTGTTAATTGTGTGCGCAACTACCGGCAACTACGGTATCACCATTCATCGTCATCCATGGCGACAAAAACATTAAAGAGGCGGCCATTAGTGGAGCGCAACTCGTTGACCAGCCTTCCCCAGTGCGACCTGAGCCCGCCCACAAAGAAATCGCCCTGAGAAGCCACCAACAGACTTGCCAGCGCCCTTGCTTCTGCTGTCGGCACGGCTGCTCCTGAGTCTTGGAGTGCGGTGGGCGTAGGGCTTGTCTGATTGGTGGAATGGAGAAACGTCCAATCACGGTAGTTGGATACCTTGGTTATTAGAGACTGGTGAAAATGTTTTGAGCAACAGGGGAGACAGGGGACGGGGATAAATGGTGTGAGACAGGGGACGGGGGATAAATGGTGTGAGACAGGGGACGGGGGATAAATGGTGTGAGACAGGGGACGGGGGATACATGGTGTGAGACAGGGGACGGGGGATGGGAGAGTGGGGATGGTAGGGTGGAGATGGGGAGCAGGGCAGGGGCCGAGCAATTAGGTAGAGTGGATGCGAGAGGGGCGGCGCCGGCGGAGTGGGATGAACTGGGAGTGGCGTGCAGGTGGAGTGGCGTGCAGGTGGAGTGGCATGCAGGTGGAGTCGCTGTAACATGCAGGCTGATGGCAGGTGAGGGAAGGTGATGGCAGGTGAGGGAAGGTGATGGCAGGTGAGGGAAGGTGATGGCAGGTGAGGGAAGGTGATGGCAGGTGAGGGAAGGTGATGGCAGGTGAGGGAAGGTGATGGCAGGTGAGAGAAGGTGATGGCGGGTGAGGGAAGGTGATGGCAGGTGAGGGAAGGTGATGGCAGGTGAGGGAAGGTGATGGCAGGTGAGGGAAGGTGATGGCAGGTGAGGGAAGGTGATGGCAGGTGAGGGAAGGTGATGGCAGGTGAGGGAAGGTGATGGCAGGTGAGGGAAGGTGATGGCAGGTGAGGGAAGGTGATGGCAGGTGAGGGAAGATGATGGCAGGTGAGGGAAGGTGATGGCAGGTGAGGGAAGGTGATGGCAGGTGAGGGAAGGTGATGGCAGGTGACAGTGGCAGGTGACAGTGGCAGGAATTGAAAGACGAGTGGGCAAAGCAGGAGTGCACGCACTCGTGAATGAAGCGAGCGTAAGGAGTCAACGTAGAGCAAACCAGTGCTCCGACATGCTCACCTGAGAGAAGACCCACCTGAGAGAAGACCCACCTGAGAGAAGACCCACCTGAGAGAAGACCCACCTGAGAGAAGACCCACCTGGGAGAAGACCCACCTGAGAGAAGACCCACCTGGGAGAAGACCCACCTGGGAGAAGATCCACCTGGAGAAGACCCACCTGGGAGAAGACCCACCTGGGAGAAGACCCACCTGGGAGAAGACCCACCTGGGAGAAGACCCACCTGAGAGGGCGTGTGCAGCCACACGTGGGCCAGATGGGGTTCCACCAGTCGCAGCTGATGCACCTGATGCATGAGCGCACTCACCATGCCACTCTCACTGCCCCCTCCCCCTCCTCCTGCCCCTCCTGCTCCTGCTCCTTCAGCCTTCACCTCTTCTCCACCGTTCACCTCTTCTCCACCTTTCCCCTCTTCTCCACCTTTCCCCTCTTCTCCACCTTTCCCCTCTTCTCCACCTTTCCCCTCTTCTCCACCTTTCCCCTCTTCTCCACCTTTCCCCTCTGCACCGCCCTCCCCCTCCACTCCCTCATCCCCTTCCTCCTCTAGTCTCCTCCCTTCCACCTCCGTCCCCACCTCTCTTCCTCCGTCCCCCCTTGATGCTCCCTTCCCCTCTCCATTCCCCTCTCCAGACGTACCCCCTAGAACCAGACTCGCCAGCGGCCGCATGACGTGCGGCTCTCGACCCACGCCAACGACGAGGTTGTTGTGCTTCTGCACATAGTACAGCACGTGCTTCTCTTTCTTCTCCAACCCCGCCTTCTTCACATTACCACTACTCACCCCTGCTTGCATATCCCAACTCTCTCCCACCTCCCCATCCTCTCCCATCAAATCCCCTTTCCACCCTTCCTCCTCACACACACTGCACCTTCCCCCTATAGTGGCCCAAGAAGCTTTGCTTGCACTCTCTATCTCCACCCCCTTACCCAACTCCATGCCTTGCAGGTCCTTGGCCTGTTTGCTCTTCCTCACATCTGACCTGGCGCTTTCCCCTGCTGTGTCAGCAGCCACGTCTCTTATGATCTCCGCCTGCGTGTCCTCGAAGAATGCCAGCCTGGCAGCCACGTGGTGGCTGATGCTGACGTGGCGGATGAGGTTGGTGACGTGGCAGAGGTGCAGGGAGGGCCAGCGCATGAGGAACCGCGTGGCCTGGGCTCGCCACCAACGCACCTGAGGCGGTGGGGAGCGGTGGATAGCGGTGGAGTGCGGTGGGGTGGAGTGCGGTGGGGTGGAGTGCGGTGGAGTGGGATGGGATGGAATGCAATGGGATGAGAAGCAGGTGAGGATAGGAAACAAGGGAGGAAAGGTGCGAAAGCAGAGGGATGACGAGTGGCATATGATTGACATGCATACAGTGCAACCATACAGCGTGGTTACAAGCATACAGTGTGGTTACAACAAGCATGTAGAGTGGTTACAAGCATACTGTGTGGTTACAAGCATACGGCGTGTTACAAGGATACAGCATAATTACAAGCATACAGCGTGTTACAAGGATACAGCATGATTACAAGCATACAGAGTGGTTGCATTCAGAGTGGTTGCATACAGAGTGGTTACATACAGCGTGGTTCGATACAGTGTGGTTACATACAGCGTGGTTCGATACAGTGTGGTTACATACAGCGTGGTTCGATACAGTGTGGTTACATACAGCGTGGTTCGATACAGTGTGGTTACATACAGCGTGGTTCGATACAGTGTGGTTACATACAGCGTGGTTCGATACAGTGTGGTTACAAGCACACACACACCTGAGACACGGAGAGAGAGGGGTTGTCAGGAGTGGGGGGCCGGCATGTTGGGCGGTACAGTGTATCTGGACGCTGCAGGTGAGGTGCTCCCCATTTGCTGTGGAGCAAGGGACAGGTGAGTGGGAGGGAGTGACACGAATCAGAAAGGCGGCTGTTGGCAACAGCGTGCAGTTTTAGTTGGTTGTGGTCAAAGTCAGCGCGTAGACAGAGTATGGGCTCCTGAAAGAGAGGAAACAGCACATTCATAAATTAGACACAAACGATACGAAAAAATAGAGCACAAAACAGAACAAAAAAAGGGGAAAAAAAAAACAGAACTAAAAACAGAACCCACGTGACGACAGCAGCATGCGGCTTGAGCTCGTTGTGTCACACACACACGCACGCACGCACGCACGCACGCACACACGCACACACACAGATACACCTACGTGGCAACAGCAGCGTGCAGCTTGAGTTCGTTGTGGTCAAAGTCGGGGTGCAGGCAGACTATGGGCTCTGCTGAGAGTGCCACGTTGCCAATGTGCTTGCCGCTGCACCGCGACCGCAGTGAACCGCTCTGCATCTCCTTCTGTGCGCGCTTGGAGCAGTCAGAGGAGGCGATGGGGGAGAAGTAGCACCCCCACTGGCCCTGCTGGCCCATGGCTGGTTGGATGGAGGCGGGATGGGATGAGGGGGCAGGGGGATGAATTGTGGGAAAGAAAGAACTGAGAAGCAAAACCAAAAGGTGGGGATGGGGGAGAGGAAACAACCCCACTGACTCTCCTGGGCTATGGCTGGATGGATGGATGGATGGATGGATGGATGGGCGGATGGATGGATGGATGGATGGATGGATGGATGGATGGATGGATGGATGGATGGATGGATGGATGGATGGATGGATGGATGGATGGATGGATGGATGGATGGATGGATGGATGGATGGATGGATGGATGGATGGATGGATGGATGGATGGATGGATGGATGGATGGATGGATGGATGGATGGATGGATGGATGGATGGATGGATGGATGGATGGATGGATGGATGGATGGATGGATGGATGGATGGATGGATGGATGGATGGATGGATGGATGGATGGATGGATGGATGGATGGATGGATGGATGGATGGATGGATGGATGGATGGCGGATGGATGGGCGGATGGATGGATGGACGGATGGATGGATGGATGGATGGATGGATGGATGGATGGATGGATGGATGGATGGATGGATGGATGGATGGATGGATGGATGGATGGATGGATGGATGGATGGATGGATGGATGGATGGATGGATGGATGCTAGGATGGATGGATGGATGGATGGATGGATGGATGGATGGATGGATGGATGGATGGATGGATGGATGGATGGATGGATGGATGGATGGATGGATGGATGGATGGATGGATGGATGGATGGATGGATGGATGGATGGATGGATGGATGGATGGATGGGCGGATGGATGGGCGGATGGATGGGATGGATGGATGGATGGATGGATGGATGGATGGATGGATGGATGGATGGATGGATGGATGGATGGATGGATGGATGGATGGATGGATGGATGGATGGATGGATGGATGGATGGATGGATGGATGGATGGATGGATGGATGGATGGATGGATGGGCGGATGGATGGGCGGATGGATGGGCGGATGGATGGGCGGATGGATGGATGGATCGATGGATGGATCGATGGATGGATGGATGGATGGATGGATGGATGGATGGATGGATGGATGGATGGATGGATGGATGGATGGATGGATGGATGGATGGATGGATGGATGGATGGATGGATGGATGGATGGATGGATGGATGGATGGATGGATGGATGGGCGGATGGATGGATGGATGGATGGATGGATGGATGGATGATGGATGGATGGATGGATGGATGGATGGATGGATGGATGGATGGATGGATGGATGGATGGATGGATGGATGGATGGATGGATGGATGGATGGATGGATGGATGGATGGATGGATGGATGGATGGATGGATGGATGGATGGATGGACGGATGGATGGGTGGGTGGATGGATGGATGGATGGATGGAGGCTGGGATGGGAGGGAGGGAGAAAGGGAAGGGAACGAGGTGGGCGAGCAGGAAAGAGGAGAGAAATAGGGGAAATGAGATATGGTTGGATTGAAGAGGGAAAGGAAGTAGAAGAAGCACCCCCCATAGTCCTGCTGGCCCGTGTCTGGACGGACGGATGGAAGGGGAGAGGATCATTGGAGGGGGGATGGAGGGAGGGAGGGAGGATAGGAGGAAGGGAGGGAGGGGGACGAGGGGGAAGTGGGGAGATGGTTATGAAGGGGGGAAAAGGAGGTGATGTGAGGAGAGTGCGCGCATGTACTCTCCATCACATGCAACGCATGCGATGCACGTGCGTGCGCATGCCAAACTTTCAGCACCAGTCTGCAGCAGTGCTCCCATTACATTCCATGCCACCAAAGAGTGCCAAGTGAACCAGAGATGCAACGCAGCTTTACATGCTGAAGAGAGCTAAAGGAGCCGGATACTGGGACCAGCACTCGCCCCGTCTCCACCCACACCCATCACATGCACCTGCTTCTTCCCCCCTTGCAACAATGAATGTGCATCAGATCAGCTCAGATCAAATCGCACGCACCTTTACATGCAGAGTTGTTGGCATAGCTGAAGGAGCCTGAGAGTGGGACCAGCACGCGCCCTGTCTCCACCGCCAACCCCAGCAGCGCACCCATCACATGCACCTGCAGACCCAGCCCCTCCAAACCTCCCAGCCCATCTGAACCGCTCTCCCCCGCCTCCACTCCTCCTCCTCCTCCTGCCCCTGTGCCCAGCCCTGCGGCAGCAGTGGCTGGCAGCACCCAGGGCACAATGAGCAGGTGCCTTCCATCGCAGGAGCCAGGAGGGAACTGCGAGAGCCAGATGTCCCGCTGCACCGTGCGCGTGAGGGCTAGACTGCTGTCGTCAGGGCCATACACCTGGGAGCGGGGCGTGGAGGAATGGAGGGGGAGCAACAACAGCACAGCACAATGAGCAGGCGCCTGGCGTCAAAGGAGCCCCGGGGGGAAGGTTGCTGTGTCCCACTGCACTGCGCGCGCCATCGCTAGGCTGCTGTCGTCAGGGCCGCACACCTGGCGGAGGGGAGGATAAAGTGGAGGAAGGGCAGGGAGGGAAGGGGGGGGCCGGGGGAAGGTGGGGAATATGGGGGAGAGGGGAGAGGGGAGCTGCCCAGCTATCTCACTCACTGGCTGCTTCTATCCATGAGGCCCGTACGTCTGGGGGAGGGGAATATAGGCCCGCACACCTCACACACCTTCCTTCAACCCTAAACTCTAAACATTAAACCCAAAATCGAGACCAGCTTAACCATTCAGACCCTCTACTATTCCTACGACCATTTCGATTGGGCACCATGCCAACCACCCCCACCCACCCACCCGACCGCCCACCCACCCATGGTGGTTGCGGCGAGCATCCACAACAGGACGAGCCGTTGCCGCCCGGCACCGCCCACGCCGCCCCGGCCCTCTCGGCGCCCTGTCTGGCGGACGTGCGGGCGGTGCAGTCCTCGAGGTGGGCGGGCGGCGGGAGGTTGCGTGCGAGGGAAATGGTCTTGGGCGGCAGCAGCGAGGACGAGTCCAGCCCGTAGGCTGACTGCCATGCCTGCATGTGGGCAGGGGGAGATGGGGACCATGAGATGGAGTAAGATATTTCGGGTTGGGGAGGTCCCTGTGGAAGAGAGACGGAATTGGGCGGCAGCAGAGAGGGCGAGTCCAGCCCGTAGGCTGACTGCCATGCGTGCATGTGCCATGCGGGAAGGAAGGCACAAGTAGGCAGGGGCACAGAGGTGGGTAGGGGAAAATGGGGAGGGTGAGATCGATAGGGTTGCCATATGAGGGAGGTTGCACGGGAGGGAGGGAGATGGTTTTGGGCGGCAGCAGAGAGGAGGAACCCAGGCCATAAGCTGACTGCCATGCGTGCATGTGGGCAGGGAGAGATGCGGACAATGACACGGAGAATTATATTCAGGGAGGTTCCAGTGGAAGAGCGGTGGGCTTTGGGCTGCAGAAGAGAGCTGGATCCCAGGCGAGAAAACGGCGAGGGCACGATAAGATGAGCGCTGTGAGGGCAGGCAGGGGAAGATGAGGGCAGGGGAAGGTGAGGGCAGGGGAAGGTGAGGGCAGGGGAAGGTGAGGGCAGGGGAAGGTGAGGGCAGGGGAAGGTGAGGGCAGGGGAAGGTGAGGGCAGGGGAAGGTGAGGGCAGGGGAAGGTGAGGGCAGGGGAAGGTGAGGGCAGGGGAAGGTGAGGGCAGGGGAAGGTGAGGGCAGGGGAAGGTGAGGGCAGGGGAAGGTGAGGGCAGGGGAAGGTGAGGACAGTGAGATGGAAGAAGATATTTGGGGAAGGTGGAGGGCAGGGGAAAGCAGGGGAAGGGAAGGGGTAGGCGCGGGCAGAGGAAGGTGCGGTAAGGGGGAGGCGCGGGCAGGGGAAGGCGATGGCCAGGGAAGGCGCGGGAAGGGGGAGGGGCGGGCAGGGGAGGCGCGGGAAGGGGAGGCGCGGGCAGGGGTAGGCGCGGGGCCGGGGAATGGGAGGGCAGGGGAAGGCGAGGCGAGGGCAGGGCGGGGGCGCGGGAAGCGGAAGGCGCGGGCAGGGAAAGGCAGAAGGAAGGAAAGCGTGGAAGGAAAGGTTGCGGAAGGTGCAGCGCAAGCAAAGGCATGGTGTGTGCGACCGCCGCCTGTGTGCCTAAGGACAGCGTGTGCGGATAACCGTGCCACACGCCCCAACGTGCCTTATGCAGCAATGCTATTCGCTCCATCTGGTTCGTATCTCCCACCACCCCCACCGTCATCGTCCCGCCGCTTCTCGGTTCAGCCGCCGCGAATGGCGGAAACGAAAGGCCGGTCAACTGGAGAAGTAGTAGCAGCGAGGCGAGAAGAGCGAGTGGCGGCGCCATGGCGGTTAGGCGGCAAAAAGGATATTGATGATATATGCGAAGTGTTTGTACCCTCTAAACCGTACAAACCTCGTAACGAAATGTGTTCGTTTCGCAGCAATTTCATTCAGGCTAGTGTAACCCTAAGGCGCTGTTCTGTACGCATTATTGGTGCCGCACAAAAAACGCAGTGCATGTAATTTCAGTGACACGTACATGTACAGCACGCTCGTTTTGTTTCGAATGGGGTTACACGACAACGGTAGTGGCACGTCGCAACGGTAACACAACCAAAATGCTCCCTCCAACTAACATCCGACGCGCGAAAGTTTCCGAATTGTCGCGTCGCAGGTTGGTTTTCGCAAACATTAGGCAGATAATTGGTTTGGCTCTGTTCTCAACTCTTGTATTCAGTACGGTATTGCCTGCATTTTCGCAGCACCGAATTTCTCGCCGCATCTCTCGCGACACACCTTCCGGAGTTTGCCTGCGTACCCATTTCACCGTGCGATGTTTGCGCTTCCAAATAAAAGGCTTTTGACAGTCACATTACTCAATCGGGACGAATACACATAGTAGGTCGCAGCCCTTATTAGCCTTGTAGGAAGAAGTAGGCTAGGTGCACAGCAACAGCAGCGCCCAGTTCCGCCCTTCCCTTCCAAGACCAGTTTCTCACTCAGCCAAGGTAACTTTCGATAACCAAGCCGCCAATTTTGCTCATCCAAATCTACCATCACTTGACTCGCTACGTCTGCGCGAAGCCACCCGCGGTTAAGCCTCCACACGTGGCGTCACAGGTGGTGACCCTCCTTATGCAGAGCCGGAGGCGTAGCTGGCGTACTTGCAATCCGGCGCGACGATGGACGAGGAGATGTAATCCTCCACATCGCCGTCCTGGAACCCCTTGCCCTCCGCCTTATCCACGTCCACCGGGTGGTGGAGCAGCGCCGCCAAGTGCGAGTACTTCACCGCGCGCTGCAACTGCTCCGGCGTGGTCCTAAACGTCTGCCCCAGCACGCCGTGCACGGCTGACGTTATCGCCACGTCGGAAAGCTCCACGTTGAAGTGCGCCTCCGCCTCGGTCGGCGTCTGCAGCAGCGGGTGCGCCACACGCACGCGCACGTCCAGTTCCCCCAGCCCCGCCACGCGCACCTGGAACTGATCCACGTCGAACGGCCCCTCCTTCTCCTCCGCGACTTTGGTAACCACCAGCCTGCTTTCTGTATCGATCCACTCGCCAAACGCTTGGAATCTGCGTCGTCGCGCCGTCCGCCTCGATCAGCGAGATAAAGCCGTTTTCCCCGCGCTCCTGCTGCTTGCCCTTGCGCGCAACCATGCGCAGCGTGTAGTTCGCGCCGTCGGGCGTCATCCAGACCACGCCGACCTCCTTATTCCACGTGTGCAGCTCTGTGCTCGACTCACTCGACTTCAATGACGCGGGAAGCGCGGGAGGTGCGCCTTGATATACATTCAGGTGCATGTTGACGTGGAATCGACGGTCGGAGAAGAGGCAGAACGATTTGCCAAGGCGGCCGGTGAAATCGTAGTGCGTGCCGTGCGCGCCCGTGAGATGCAAATCGTTTTTGACAAGCGCCGTGCCGTTGCAGAGTCCCTCGACGAAGCTCAGCGGGTACGACGCTGAGTTCGCAACCTGCGTGGCCGCGTCGCCCGCGTACGGCGTCTTGAAAGAGCCCGACGTGCCCAAGCCGCCGTTCTTCTCCAGCAGGTAGCACTGCACATTCGCGTTCTCGCCGGCGAGACGCGGGCTGGGGGAGGAAGAGAGGAAGAGAGGATCGAAGGAGGAGAAGGGGTAAGTGTCAAAGTTAGAAGAGAGAAGAGAGGGTTGCACTAGCAAGAATGGGGATACAAATAGCAAACCCTAGAAGGGTTGTACTCGCTATAGAGCATCCCACTACAGGCTAGAGCATAAGATAACATTCTGACACACCCCCGTAGCCAAAGTGGGGTGTAATCAGCATAGCAAGCAAAGCAGTACAAGCTCAGGGTGGATCACAATGTCACCACACATTCTGAGCACAAGTTCAAGAAGCAATAGTTTAAGGTTCACAATTATGAGCAAAGCTAGTGGTAGTCACAACGGGCAAGTGAGGAGGAGGAGAGAGAGTGAGGGGAGAGGAGATAGGAGGCGACGGCTGAAGCTGCAGACACACGGGCAACAGGAGGCACACTGGCACAGCGGCTACCGGAACAACGCCCCGGAATACTGGAGTAACTAGCCCCGCGGCTTAAGTAGCGGCAGACGAGCAACGGACCCACGCGCGGCTGGCACAGCTGGCTACGACTGGGCTACCGGAGCAACTCCCCGGAATACAGGTGCTGCTGGCGACACGACGGCAACCTCCATACAGCTTCCCCACACTATCCCACTCCCCCTGGCACGCACCCGCTGCTACACCGCTAGCTCCACTCACACGCACCCCCCTTAAACCCTAAACCCCAGACTCCCACACATCCACCCCCCTCAGCGACAGCTGCAGCAGTGGGAGACGAAGGAGGAGGAGGAGAAGGGGACGGCACGCACAACCGACACCCCCACAACCATCACCCCCATACCCGTCACCCCCATACACTGAGTGTGCGGTAAGCGAGCTGAGGTGTGCGTGAAGCGTGCACAAGCGTGCGGGAATTGAACTCGGATGTGCGGTAATCGAACTCAGGTGTGCGGGGAGGGGGGCCGCAGGGCGACGCGCGGGCCGACGGGGACGGGTGCACGAGTCCCCAAGGGCGGCGCGCGGGTCGACAGGGCCGCCGCGAAGGGCGACGAGGAGCCGCGTGCGGGTCGACGGGGCCGCCGCGAAGGGTGACGGGGAGCCGTGCGCGGGTGGACGGGGACGGGCGCGCGGGTCGACGGAACGCGAAACCGCCGCGTGCGCCCAGGGTGCGCGGTGGGCAGGAAACCGCCACGCATTCCGAGCGCATGGCGGGCAGAAAACCGCCGCGCGAAGCAGGAAACCGCCGCGCGCCTCGGGGCGCACGGCGGGCAACGGGGCCGGGGCCGGGCCGTAGGTAGGGCGACGGGGCCGGGTCGACGGTAGGGCGACGGGGCCGGTGCGCAGGTAGGGCGACGGGGCCGGGTCGACGGTAGGGCGACGGGGCCGGTGCACGTGCCCTCGGTGCGCCGAGACGGGTCCCCGTCGCCCGTCGCGGCACCTCCAAAGGGCGACGCGGCGAACGTCGGGGCAGAACCCCGCCGCGCGCCTCGGGGCGCACAGCGGGCAGAGAACCGCCGCGCGCCTCGGGGCGCACGGCGGGCAGAAAACCGCGCCGCAGGCCACGGGGCGTGCGGCACACAGAGTAGCAGTAGTAGTTGCAGCGGAAGCAACGAGGTGGTAAGCCCACCCACAGGATCGATCCAAGGGGATCGACCTGCTCTGATAGCATGTGAAAGTTAGAAGAGAGAAGAGAGGGTTGCACTAGCAAGAATGGGGATACAAATAGCAAACCCTAGAAGGGTTGTACTCGCTATAGAGCACCCCACTACAGGCTAGAGCATAAGATAACATTCTGACAGTAAGTCACTTAGCGCGCCGCGCGCTGCACTCTTCGAAATCAGCGACACAGATGTAAAAACTTCAGTTTTTGCGCGAATGATAGAAAAAAAAAACTCAACCCGCACTTACTTCTTAAGCCAATGCCACTCGTAGCAGTAGGTTGAGCGCGCGCATGCGCGGCAGCACTCCTGCAGCGTGTCACCGTACACGCCCTTCACCACGTCGAAAATGGTCCCCACCTCCGTGTACCGCTCGTAATTGACGGGACCAGATCCGCGCTGGTGTGGCTCGAACTGCCCTCCCTGGTCGTTGAACAGCCCCTGGTAATCGCCGATGAAAGTGTAGTCGGTGTAAGTGGTATCCGTGATTGTTGCCGTGGCGAGGTCGTCGATGTAGGGGCACACGTAGCGAGTGTGGCATCCGCCAGCAGGCATGCTGGTTGCATCTGCGGCATGCAGGACCATGCGGATGAGCGCGAGGATTACGGAGAAGCTGCTGGGGAAAGCCATATTTGTGCTGGAGATAGTAGTAGTAATGGAACGCTGAGCAGGCAAGTTACTAGACTTCCAGAGAGGAGGATGGTGGTTGTTTCTGGTAGGAGTTGAGAAATGTGTCTAATAAATACCTCTCCCTGGGGTGTGGCGTATGAGTTTACTGCAATGCGGTGAAGAGCGATAATGTGCATATCAGAGCGGCTCTTTTACAATTCTTTGCGTTTGTGGAAGGGTTCTAGCGAAGGTGAACCACATTTGCTCGTGAAACGACTTGGTTTCGAAATTGCTGGTAGGCTTGGCTGGCGCAATAAGCCCATAGCGAGTTGCACCCACATGCTTTACGGAAATCAAACCACCAGTGCCGTACTGTAAAGCATTCATACCGAACTGCATATCGTGAAATATCTGCAACCCACATCGAGTCGCGTTTTGCAAGACATTTGCCGCACCATAACGCGCTCCACCAATTTGAGACTTGCTAATAAAGCACGACACCGTAAGAAAGACCTCAGAGGCAATTTCTAGTGCAGCCAGTCGCGTGGGCGTGGGGCAAGGCAGGGGTCATGTTATCTGCCCACTGCCCAGGGGGCAAAGTTCCAAGATCCGCCAATAGCCCATTGGCTTCAGCGAGAGGCAGTGATGAGTGTTGCGCCAATGGTTTGTTTGTTTGGTAAGGGCGTGTCCAGCGCGTACTGTGCCACAACAGTTACCACATTTTTGAATGTAACCACAATTTTGCATAATTTTCTGACATCGTACACCCCTAGAACGTAAATCATGGAAATATCACACACGTCCGTCGACTCGTGAACATGACGCGCAACGCACGTAACTGGCACCATATTTTGGAATGTACGAGTCTGAATCTCAACAGTTCCACATTCAGCGAGGTCCATCCCCAAACTTCGCCAGGCCACTTTGAATCTCGCGAAATTCAAGGGGGCAATTTCCAACCCTTCTGGTTACAGAGTAGTTCTGCCGCCACTGTCGCGCAACTTGCTGTTCCAGTTGCGCTGAGAGGCGAATTGTGTCTTCCCGCTGTTTTTTGGACCCAGGACTTTTAAAGGACACATCCAGAATTACCGTGTCGGCCCCAAAACTGTCACCACTTTCGTGTGATTGGTCGAGGGTTTTGAGTGGGTTTTTGACGCGATTGGTTCTCGATTTCCCCATCGAACCTGTCTCAGGGGTTTCCTGAACCTACTAATTTTTCGTTGCCTTCGTTGTGTAATTTGGGGTGTGGCCTTTAAGGTACACCTGGCAGTACCATTTCTGCGCGTGATCCGAAATACGTCAAAATTGTGTTAAAATCCGAAAGTGTATGCGCTGGACACGCCCTTACATTACATCTGTTTGTGATGAGTTTTGTAAGGAATTTGCCAATTCCTTACTGTAGCCTTGCCTTAACGGGTACAGCCCGAGCACTTCGCGTCAGGTGGCTCGGCCTACACTTCCGCACCTAACCAATGCCGAGTCGCCCCGCAACAACCGCGACACATCCAACCCATCCACGTGTCAGTAGATCTGCACTGTGGATGCCCGATTGATCCTGGAGAGGGTTACAGGCGCGTTCGCCTGGGGGGTTATGGGCGCACTGACCCGCTACTGAAACAAGCCCTTTTATCCCAATGGTCTAGTGGTTGGGATTCTGACACCACGTCCCGAGGTCCTTGCGTAGCACGGTTTCGACCCTATAAATGCGTGCTCCTTTATCATTCTTGATAATTCAGTAATTCTGTAATCACGTTCTCTTTATAGAAGTCTTTCGCGCACTCTGTTTGGTAAAACTCATAACACTTGGTATCAGAGCTACTTTCCTAGCTTCCCGTTTTTTAGAGTGTATTACCCCTCGAGGGGGGGGACAGGGAAGGATGCCGTTGTGATAGGAGCAGCGCAGAAGCTGGCCAGGAGAACTGCTCCTAGCAGCCATGTTTTTATAGGCGCCCCTGCGCCACCGACGGATCCTTGCCCTCGACAGTCGAGATGGACCATGGCCTCCCTCCCCCCGGATGGCAGACAGCTTTTTCTGTCGTCACTTGAAATGCGTGAGTTAGCAGTGTACGTTTCGGCGTTTTCGAAGTTAATTTGTGTGGCAGCTGACGTCGACAGGATCTCTGTCAGTGCACATCCGAAGATGTCAGAAGCAAGACGTGAAGCGAGTTGCGTCGGCTCGTGATCGACAACTGCGCGCGACAATTTCGGAACAGCTGTGTGCGGCAAGTGGCGTTGTGGCGTCTTCGTCACGTTGCGCACAAGCTGTTGAACGTCTTCGGCAAGTGACACGCGACGTCACTGTGCGCGAAGATTTCGGAGTAGCAGCACGTGGAAACGACTGATTGTTGAGCAGCCAGGCGCAATGTGTGATTTGCGTCAGAAAAACCGACGACGGCGTGGCGACTGCCGGAAGAAAGCGGGGGTCTACCGTCGTCCCACCCGATTGGGGTGCGTCGTGGGCGTTTTTCGGCAGAGCGGCACAGTGTGGGACGGAAGTTGTTCTTCAAACCACCGAAAAGTTCGGAAAAGGCCGCCTACGACCAGACTGTTCCGGATTGGGTGACTACTGTTTCTGGCACAATGATAATCGGCGAAATCTTCGGAAGCAAGAGTGACAGCCGCTTCAGGCGGCACAAGTTCCCTCCGGCCAGAGGTACCGGTGTTTGCAGACAACCCAGTACACCACGGAACAACGATTCGGCGCAGTGTTTAGACCCGCGATTTTCGGGGGTTCTACCGGCTACAATAAACGGAGTTGCGACTAATACGGGTCCGGCGAGAGAAACGGGTTCCGACTTCAGGAGGCGAGAAAACGACCTACAGAGAAGAATTTTTGCTGAGGCCGGGTTTCGCGGCTAAGCGGCGATAGCAGAACGAGCTCCCTATCGGCCAAAGTCTTACGACGTTTCACATACCTCACACCAGGTACCTCGAAGGCGTTATAAGACCTGTTGGTCCTGGACGAATAAAGTGGGGCCCTGTGTTTCAGCCCTGTGCTGGTTAGAAAGGCGTGGGTGGCGCTGGTTCGACAGCAAGGCGTGCAAGAAACATTTCGTGGTGCGGCACTTTTTGGCCCCGACAAAAACGAACCATCGGCGACAGTTACTCTGCCGAAAATGTCGGGACTGAAGAACTTGTGGCAGCTGGCGGTGTTTCTCCGAATTCAACGGTCTACTCGACGACGGTGTTGTCAGAATCCCAACCACTAGACCACTGGGATAAAAGGGCTTATTAAGTAGCGGGTCAGAGTGCGCCCATAACCCCCCAAGCGAACGCGCCTGTAACCCTCTCCAGGATCAATCGGGCATCCACAGTGCAGATCTACTGACACCCCCCCACACTGGGAGGCCCAGGACTGAGCACAGCGGCAACGGCCTATATATGCATACACCGGGAATCGAACCCGAGACCGCTCTGATACCATGTCAGAATTGTCAGATTTATATGACATAGTTGCTGTAGGCTATAGTGGGGTAGCACATATGGGGTACAGGGTTCCTAGGGTTGTATTTGTACCCAATCTTTCCTTAGTCATTTCATTCCTGCTTACTCATTTCACATGGTATAGAGCGGGTTCCCTGTGGAACTCTGCCTAGGGCCCACCGAAGCGCGCCCCGAGGCGCGCTCAACTTTTTTTTTTTTCCGCTCTCGAGCGACCCTCCATGTCGCCTCCTGTCTCACGAGACTCTCCTGTGGCACCACCGTCTTGGCCACCCCTCCTTGCCCCTTCTTCGGAGCATGGCTTCCCGTGTCCTTGTCTCTGGTCTTCCCCAGTCTCTCCCTCCTCTCCCCTCCGGGCCAGGACCTTCCTGTGTCCCCTGTGTCGAGGGTCGCCTCCGGGCTACTCCTCACTCCTCCCACTTCCCCCCGACAGAGGCTCCTCTGCAGACGCTTCACATGGATGTGTGGGGCCCAGCCCCCGTCCGTGGGCAGGGTTACGAGCGCTACTTCCTGTTGGTGGTTGACGACTACTCGCGTTACACCACAGTCCTCCCCTTGCGCAGCAAGGGTGCGGTCACTGAGGTGCTGATTGACTAGATCCGCGAGGCTCGTCTCCAGCTCAGGAAGAGCTTCGGCTCGGACTTTCCTGTTCTGCGTCTGCACTCGGACAGAGGCGGAGAGTTCTCTTCTCGCCTTCTGCGGGACTACTGTCGTGCACGGGGGATCCGCCAGACCTTCACGCTTCCGGACTCACCACAGCAAAATGGGATTGCTGAGCGCCGCATTAGCATGGTCATGGATGTCGCTCGTACGTCCATGATGCATGCGGCTGCCCCCCATTTTCTGTGGCCGTTTGCAGTGAGGTACGCGGCGCATCAGCTCAACCTTCACCCCCGGGTCTCTCGGCCTGCGATGTCCCCAGCCTTGCTGTGGACGGGGAAGGTTGGCGATGCGTCTGTGTTCCGTGTCTGGGGATCTCGGGCGTTTGTCCGCGACTTGTCTGCGGACAAGCTGTCCCCTCGTGCTGCTCCCTGTGTCTTCCTTGGCTTCCCCACTGACGCCCCAGGGTGGCAGTTTTACCACCCCTCCTCTCGTCGTGTTCTGTCCTCCCAGGACGTCACGTTCGACGAGTCAGTCCCCTTCTACCGTCTCTTCCCCTACCGCACTCCTTCCCTCCCCCCTCCCCCGGACTTCCTTGTGCCGGTTCCCCCCCCGGTAGACCCCCTCCCCCCTCAGCTTCCTGCCCCCTCAGGTGTGTCCCAGGTAGACGCCGTTGACCCGGTCGAGGTTACTGGTGACTCTGGTGCTGCTGCGGGTGCTGAGCCTGGGGGTGCTGACTCTGGGGGTGCTGTGCGCGGGGGTGCTGAGCCTGGGGGTGCTACTGCTGGGGGTGCTGGGCCTGAGGGTGCTACTGCGGAGGGTGCGGAGCCTGGGGGTGCTGAGCCGGGGGGGGCTGTGCCTGGGGGTGCGGGGTCTGGGGGTGCTGGGTCGGGAGCTACTGAGCCTGGAGGTGCTGAGCTGGGAGCTGCTGAGCC